CAGTAGCAAAACTAAGACCACGTATTTGTGGCATATTAAAGACATAACCAATTGATTGACCTAGACCAAGAATAATCCATAAAATAGCAGCAATAGTAGTAAGTTTGTATCGTTCTATATAAGCATGTCTTGTTTTATGTTTAGCTGCTAAAAGAACATCACGACCACAAATCATTTCTACTACTCTAGCTTCTGCTTCAACTGGAAAACCTGTTGGTCTATCCATTCTTTCTGGATTCTCAAATGTACCACCTAGAATATCCCATATTGGTAGATCACCATAGTTTTTACTATGATCACGTTTATTACGTAAATGATGAATTCGATGAGCTTCTGGACGTTGAAAAAAATAGCCAATCCATTGAGGTGTTTTAATATTCATATGATAAACATATTCACCAAAAGCAGCAAAACCTGCTAACCAAACACTTGATTCTTTCGAAAGACCAAGTACTGGATAAAGTAATATTGTCATAATAATTGAATCAACAAGAATTTCTTGAGGTGCTTTGTAAAATGATGTTATTGCTTCTATTCTTTGTGCACTATGATGGAATTGATGAAACCAAAGCCATAAAAAGTAAACATTATGTCGTGCACGATGAAACCAATAAAAAACCCATGTATGAATAAGATAAGCAATAATACCACCCATTAAAGGTGAGACAAAATCACGTAAATGAAATAAATGTGCATCTGGTAACCATCTTTCCCACGTATAAGTACCAACAACAACTACGATTAATTGATACAAATTAATGAGTAAAACACGTTTCCACCAGCCTGGTACATATGCTAATGGTTGATCGGGAAAGAGACGTTCTAATATCATCAGACATCCCAATCCACAAATAATAATTCCTAATCCAAGTAACATTTGTTTTTCGTCTTGTTAAATTTTAAATCTAAAATATTTTATTTTATTCTAATATGATTGGAGAATTTAATTCAGCTTGAAAAAATAAATACCCTACTTGTCATTCTTCATGGAGACAAAAAAATTTCACCGTAGTTAAATTTGTTTCTCTTTAAGTATAGAAAATATTTACCATGTTACTGCATCATTTTACTTACATATTTCATCATATAGTTGCAACGATCACTAAAAAACATGACGTTATTTTTTCTACCTTTTCTTCTTTTTTTTTGTTACACATAATATACGTGGCGACTATGTTTTTATATGATGAGGCATCGTGATGAGTCATCGTAAAAAAACTTATTCTATTTCTTTTCTGTGTAAAAACAAAATATATATATACGACAACGTTGTTTTTCATTTGATTCATCATAAACATGGCATTATCGTCATCATCAACAACATGTACAAAATGGTACACTGTACGTCAATTACGAATCTTTCAATTATTATTTGGTATTTATTTAACAATTCATTTTGCACAATTAATTCCTTATGCAACAGAATTATTCGGTCGTGATGGTATGATAGCTGATCCACGTTGGAGTCCAACATATGGATTTTTTCCAAATATTTTGAATTTAATTGATCATTCTTCGACATTTTTAAATATTTTTTTAATATTTTTATCGTGTTTATCTGTTATTTTTGCTTTACGCTTATTTGTACCACGGATCATTGCTCTTGTTCTATGGTATGGTTGGGCATGTCTTTTAAATCGTAATGTACTCATTTCAAATCCTGGTATTCCTTATATTGGTCTACTACTATTAGCATTCAGTCTGATTAAATTTGAAAAACAAGAAGAAAAGCATGAAATTAATACACAAGTTTTTCCTTGGTTATATTGGGGTGGATGGACATTATATGCTTTAGGTTATACTATAAGTGGTTTACATAAATTACAATCAGCTAGTTGGATTGATGGTAGTGCATTGCGTCATGTTTTACAATCTCCTTTATCTCGTGATAATTTTCTATGTCATTCTTTACTTAATATGAATCCTCTTGTTCTTCAAATATCTACTTGGGGATCGCTTTTTGTTGAAATTTCATTTCTTCCTCTTGGACTTTTCTATCATACTCGTAAAGTATATTGGCTTGCTTTTCTTGCTCTTCATCTTGGAGTTTTACTTGTTGTTAATTTCACTGATCTTACATTAGGTGTTTTAGCTATGCATTTCTTTTTATTCGATCCACGTTGGTTTTTTACCGTAAATACTTCATCACTTCATACAAAATTACAATAATATTTATTTTGCTTAAATGTCATATGTGTTATAAATATAGCGTCCATTAGAATTTCTTTTCTAAGTAATATATTTAATTTACTAACAACTTGATTTATTCTATTTTTTTAAACGCTCAAAGAACAATTATTTATATAATTTCTGTTCACTAGTAGAAATACCACATTACTCTAATTACTTTTTGAAACTATTTCTAAAAGTAATTAGTAATACAGTGACAAATAATAACAATACAGTCGAACAGGGTTGCCAGATGTTCTGATATGGTAGGAAAAATTTCGATTTTCTGTTTTTTGAACATCGGTGTTATAACTCTACTGACAGATAGCTGAGCGAACTGATATGTGAACAAAAAAAAACGTCGTGATACTGAATAAATTTTAACTTTATCTATGAAATGCATCTCTATGTATGCAATTTATCGCTCCGACATCAGATGACTTACATGGTGTTCCTGATAAGAGGTGAAGTGTAGATCTATATTGTTCTTTTTTATTTTCCGATTTTTAGCCTTTCCATCTGGCAACCCTACAATTGGTATACAATATGAATTCATAAATATTATTTTCCAGTCAATTGTTATGTTCTAGAACTTCTCAGATATGTTGAATGTATAGAAAGGACACGATACGAGAGGATTCTATTAAATTCTAACGACTTAGGTTTTTTAATGTACTTTTTACTCAACAGAACTTTCATTTCTCAAGTTGACTACTACGATTCCGAGAAAACTTCGTCGAAATGTAGGAATCTGGTTAATGAGTGTTGCCAGAGGAAGAAAGCGTAAAATATAATTAGATATATGCAGGAAATAAATAATAAAAAATTTTATTTCTTATTAAACAGGACGCATAATGTGTGCCATTATGTACAAAAATGTTAAAGTTATTCTCGATTTCGTGAATATTTATAATCAAAAATAAGAATCACAACGATCTGTCAGACGATTTTGAGTTATTTTTAATAAAACAAGCTCGTCTATTTGCGAAATTAAGTAGCATTGATTTATATTTGGGTAGATCAGTTAAGACTTCGACATTTGTGATTGTTGTTGTTTTTCAATTTCTTTTTGAATCATTTTTTGTTGAATTTGCGTAGTAAATCCTGGATTGATATCTAATGCATAAGATAAAAGCGGTTTTGGAATATGGCCAAAATCAACAATGACTCTAATAAACATTGTATTATCGCGAATATATGGATTATTCTCTTGCTGAAATATTGTTGTAGGAGCAAATTTGGGAATTCCACTAGGAGTATTTGTATTTGTTTGAGGTCGTTGAAAACTATTGGATATTACATCTGGGCGAAATACATCGATAATATGTTGTTTTTTGTCAGTTTGATCCATAAGACAAAAGATAACGTTGAAACAGAATGGAAATTTTAAAATAGCATCATATTCACCACGCATCAGAATAAAAAATAATGAAATATATGTTCGTCTTGTACTACCATCTCCATCTAAATATAATCGAAGACACATTTTATAACCCGCTGGCGATGAATAAAATGGTTCAGAGTCAATATAAGTTTGTTTCCCAGATTTGGCATCGTCTAAAAGAAAAATATATTCTATTACAATAAATATGAACATAAGTGTATAGATTTTATATTATATACATATGTATAAGGCTTTTACTCGTAGATCAAATCACCAATACGATTATCTTTATAACAAATTCTATTCGATAGTTAAGATAAATGAATGATTACATAAATTGTTCTACGTTCAATATATTTTTTTACAGAGCAAAATTTTCTATATCAAATCATATTTTGTTGGATGAAAAGTATGAAACAGCCTTTACGTTTAAGCTTTATTTCCAAAAAGACAAAAATCAATTTGTTTGTTCGAACCCTACGAGAGGTATTCAAATTTTCTTTTTTGTAAATGACTTTCGGGGCACCCTATCTAGTATGAAAATGAAGATGAGATTTATGAACTGTGACTGATCTATACAATGAAGCTATCCGTGACAGCTTCTGATCGAAGGAGTGTTAGTATTGCACTTGAGTAGCATTGTTTTCATACAAAGCATATACCCGATCGCGAGAGAGAACGAACGAGAAGGACAAAATAGGATGAGAGAAAAATGATTACACCATGTATGAAATAAGGACAAAAGGATAAGAGGTGATACATCAAATACGAAGAAATCACAGGAAGAGAATAAATATCGTTACAATGCGCACATGTTTTTAATAAAAAGAATAGTGTGTATGTAGATTATTGATAATCAATTCTTCTGTTTTTAATATAGAAATCCAGAAAACCTATGGTAACGATGTCAACGATTTTTTGTATAAAATCTACAAATATTTCAACAATTTCTTTTTCCTACTGAAATAAATACGATTCGAAATAATATAAATTTTCCGATGAAGAAAAAAGAACAAGCACCTCGATTAATTTTACTCTTATAAGTAATGAGAATTAACATATGTTTTTCATTTTATAAGATAATCTTCATCAAATTTACTCAACTATGATAAAGAAAAAAAACTCATGATATAAATATCACGATTTCTCACCTATTTTTTCGTTTATATTGGTTATTTTCCATAGGTGCGTTCCGTCGTGCAGCGATAAATTGTTATTATTAATTTTTGATTGCATTGCTAAATTATCTTCTTGAAAATTCTCAAAAGTTGTTTTTATTCTATCAATAAGAATATTTTGTTCTTCCACAGATTTTTTCATATTTCCAAAATTTTGTTTTATTGCGTCCAATGTAGTTTCATCATTCATACATTCATTTTTAATACGTTGTCCATCGCCATTTAATATCCCAGTAGCAATTAATAGATTCTGAATTGTTTCATTTAAATCTCCTATCTGATCAGTTGTATTTTGTATTGTTGAAGGATATTCGAATGCGAGATTATTATTCATAAACATAGATGGTTTTAAATTTTTATTAATAAGAAAATTAATTAATATTATTTGATGTTGTTCAGTTAAATAATGTTTTACAAGATTTTCGCGAGGAATCTAAATAATAAAATTTCTATAGGTTATAATATATTAAGAGATTCAGTATACTTTTTCATCACAGCCAACGGATTTTAAAGGACAATAAATAGGAACTTTTGTGCAATTATAAAATATATGTCGATTGAGGTCATTCACTGAAGTGTGTTGTTCATTACAATAATCACATATCGGATTAGGGTGAGTTTGATCAAGATGATTCTTTTAAAAATAAATTTAAATAATAAAAATTAAAAAATAAACCAAAGATTTTTACCTGATAGGTCTTTAACAAACCTGTCCAATTACAAAATAAACAGGTAATTCTCATCGTCTGCATGTCATTTCTACAACCTCGATCAAGTCGCAGCTAGAAAGAAAAAATAATAAATAAATATTACAAAAAAAAGAAAAAGTAACAGACTTGTTTTCGATGCATCTTCTCACAACATTGCGAACAGGTGATGAAATCTCTTGAAAAAGAATATTAGATAGAAATAGAAATTTCAAACATTCAAATTACCCTTGTTGATCATCCACGCATGACTGACACATACGATGCGCACAGGTTAATTGAACAGGATCGCGTAATAATAGCAAGCAAAATATACATTTATATGAATACTCAATACTCTCAAGATCGTTGACTCTATAGCCAACCATTTTTTTAATTATCTAAAACTATACTTAAAATATTTAGTTTTTTGGAAAAAAGTTTCGTTTCACATGATGTGTTAAGTATCGTAATGTTTTCTCAAAAATACAATAATGTAAGTTCACACTGAAAATAATTCTAACTTACAATAGATTTTTAATATTTCAGATTTATTTAAACTTATGAATTACTGCATATTGAAAAATAAAAGACGCATCGAATCATTCCTTTTTTTCATATGATTTAACGTGATTTAAGACTGATTTAAAATGATTTAGAATGATTTAAATTGAGTTAAATGATTTAAAGTGATTTAAATAATCTGAAAATCAAAACTAACTGAATTTAAATCACAAAAATGTGGCAACTTACATGCAACACTACTTGAAAATGAAATAAAAATGATGAAGCAAGGAATAAATCATCAAGACTTTCCGCATGAATAATATTCTAGAAAATTAATAACGATTCTTATCAAAATGAGTAATCGTTTTTCTTACACAACTTTCATTCATCGAGTAATTTCTTTCCATGTAGTCATAATAAGTTGCCAACAAATCACGTGTATTGAAAGAAAAGAAAAGAAAGAAAAGAAAAGAAAAGAAAGAAAAACAGAAACGGATGCTTATATAACGCTCTTTTGATATTTCGTAACAATGTGACACAATGACTCATTGGTCCTTGTTGTGTACTTATCTTATGACATGATATATTAACTTTTCCTGGCCATAGAATTATATTTATTACTGCAAGATCATTGTTTTTAGTTTCATAATAAATTCCAATAAAAAGGAAAAAATCTGATTTAGAATTTAGGTCTTTCATTTATATCGAAAGTGTTGAAATTATAATTATTTATACAACTTATTACGATATACTCCGACAAAATATAGAACAACGAATACACAAATAATTCTTTTCATCTTATAGGATATATTATTATAATGAGTCGTGACAAATCAGAAGAGAGATTTCGAATAATATTATATTTTTATAGCATAACAAACGTAATAAAACATCTGAGATATATCAATGATATCCAGATGTAAGTAATGTTCATCGTTGAATATATTCGATCTTTCTAAGGTATCACACGAATATATACTGCAGAAAATGTTAACTTAATATATTTAGAGCAATAGCTAATGGAATTAATCAATACTTTTTAATTATTTGAAGAAAATATCACTAGAAATCTTCTAAAATTTTTCTAGTAAATAGCTAGAATAACAGTCATAAAAATAAATAAATTATAAAAGTTATAAAGTATTACCTGCTGTATATCTAAATGTATGTGTCAAGAATTAAGAATGAAAGATGAAATAATAGTCTATTTCAATGAAATAAAAAGATACGTGGTTAAAAAATAGATAAGTGAACGTTATAAGAACGACTGCATGTATATATAGTGAAATACTTCCTATAACGAAAAAGAAAAAACCAAGTATTGCAAGTTAAAAACAAAGATATTGGGAAATTTCTATGACAATATTAATAATATCACATTACCGTTGCATATATATAATTGATGATTATCGAGGGTGCGGTTGTAGATGAGTGAGTATCGGTGTGGGTGTGAGTAAAAATGATCTAATACACGCATAATCACACTCATATTCATTCTAAAGTTAAACAGAGATTCACATACCTCTTTTAATCTAAGTAACTTAAAATATTTATCAGGATGGCACAAAATACATAGCTTATGTTTCTTTATGAATAATAAATAATATACGAAAGAACGAACTAAAAAGTATAATGAAGCATATGAATAAAACAAAAAAAATGAACGTTCTCATATAGACCTTGACAGATACTTCAACAATGCAGAGCTTCTGTTCCTCGTTGATAAGACAGTCACCTGAAATGAAAGTTCTGTGCAATAAATAAGTTGACAAAAATCTTCATGACGAAGTTCTGACCATGTAACAGTCCTCTACTTACTATACTCTGAGAGACACAGTTTTAAAAATCAAACTTATTACATATATATATGTATAGCCTTCTAAAGAAATAATTTATAACTCTATAGGCATAAAGATAAAATAGCGATTTAAGCTCATTTGTTAAATACTAATTCCTATTAACAAGAAAAGTTATTTTGTATTTCACATTTTAATTATTTTAAAAAATTTGTGGTTATAAATGAACTAGACTTCAACACTAGTTATTAAAACCATTATTTATTCAAGATCTATGCCATCTGACTAATGAGTTGTGCCCATTAATATGAATCATTTGAGACAAATACAAAAAAAACGTCGATGCTGGAAGAATCCCAATAGAAGAAAGAGTAGAAGCATCAATTCTCATCTAAATACGTGGGTAAAATTATTAGTGGAGTCACATAATTTCATCTGCTGTTCGTTTCGGAATATGTTCCAAATATTTCAAGTAGGACTCGACAGGCTCCATCGAATGATATGCTCAGATTTCTTATAGATCAAAGTAAAATTTTTGGTCCTATAGATGACCCTGTTAGAAGCTAGAACATCTGCGTACACCATTCGATAGAGCTCGTCAAGTCCTACTTGAAAATTTTGAAACACATATCGAGATGAATCACAAGTAAAATTGCTCGAATTCATCGATAACTTCACTGACTTCATCTAGACATTCTTTATGAACATTTATTGTTTATTTCAAATTTCTTGAATACTATTCGTGAATGATACATTTATTATTATCAAAATCGTAACACTAACTCTATGAAATTACAAAAAGATTGCACAATCCTCAATAACAAATTTTATTGAGCAAATATTTGTATTACATTCGAAAATAAATCCTCTGTGATATATTCTATTTAGTAAAAGAAATCTTATAAATAAAAGTATGTAGCATTTTCAAAAATAATAACAACAGAAGTAAAGAAGGAAGAAAGTCGGTTTGTTTTTCATAAGTTTTCAATTAAAAGCAAACTTATTTTTAATAGCAAAGTAAATTTATTTGTTGAAGAAGAAAAAAACACGTTGTTCTATTTTACAGCATTTAATATATTTTGGAAGAAGAACAGTATAAATTTAATTGTATTACAAATTAATCAGATAAATAAATAAATTTGTTTCATTCGTGAATATTTTGTTTTTTTGTAAAAGATTGTCAATAAATTATATATATATATTTCTTTTCTTTTTCGTATCAAAATAAACGAGAAAACATTCAAACTAAACGGAACAAAAAAAATAAACCAACTGTCACGTGAACTTATTATAGAAATAGAAATACACACACACACACACACACACACAAGTACACACAGAAAATATGTTTTGTTTTGTAAAGAAACAGATCACTGTTAATGGATAAAATTAATCATCAAAACTGTCATCATCACTATCAGCTACATGTAATTTAATTCCATTTCGTTTTGCTTCTTCTTCTCTATGTGTTTCTAAACTTGCTTCCATCGCTCGAAGGATATCATCATCATCTTCTATGTTAGTTGAAACATTGTCATTTATATCTGATGTTGATGATACTGTTCGACCTTGAAAACGACGAGCACGTCGTTTATTACGTATATGTTTAACTAATCGATATGTTCCATAAGTAGGTGCACCAATAGTCGTTCCAACTGCTAATAATGCCACAGCACCAACAGCTGCTACTGGAGCTGCTAATGTTGCAGCACCAGCAACTAATCCACGAACTGTATAACGAATAGCTGGTTTATCTGGATAGAAATTATATTTACATCCTAAAATAAATTATTATTATTATATTGAATTGATAGAAGAAAATATTCTTACCAAAAGGAGATAATCGACTTTCATGTGAACCTAAAAATTTGAATGCAAATCTTCGTTTTCCACAATTATAACAAAAATCACAGTGGCATTTTGAACAAATCATATGTGGACAACCACCATTTCTGGATATAAATACCTATGAAATAA